CATATTCCGCACATTTCGGCGCATTTGACAGGGTGGTTCCGTATCTTTTTTATAATGAAATTAAACTCACTTTTCCCGCATCTTTTCCGCACCTTTTCCGTGTGCAATTTTTTATAGGGCAAGCTCTCACAATGCCGAAAATATACCTACTTTATCAAATATTAAAGTCCATTTTCTTCCTCCTAATACTACATCTATTTTTTTTAGTCAAAATATAGAAAAATTCTCTGTGAAAACAGAATTAGAACTTACCAAGAAGCAGCAGAGAGTAATAATAACCAAGTTTCTGAAATAAATATTTTCGATCCAATCAATTTTGTTTCTGATGCTTGGAATCAAGTAACAACTGAAACAATTAAAAATAGTTGGGAAAAAACTAATATAATTAATCAAAATACAACTGATTTGATGGTTGATGATTTAGAAAATCAATCGGAAGTAAATGAAATAAATAGTTTGATCACTCAACTTCCTTTTCAAGATCATCTAGGCCAATGAATATATTACGATTGACCAAAATCTTCTTGTTCAAGAAGAAATGACCACACAAGAAATTGTAAATATTGTAAAAGGACAGAGTGAAGTTGGTGATGACAATGATGAAACAAATAAATCCGAGCCAATGGTCACTAATCTAGAAGCTGTAAAAGCTCTGGAAACTGCACTTAAATATGTACAGCAAAAAAATTTTAGATATTGATTTTAAAGTAATTAGGAATGTCAAAAAATTAAAAAGTGAAATTTCTTACAAAAATTCTCAAGAACAAGTGCAAACAAGAATAGAAGATTATTATAATGTCAATGTTTTAAATGAATAAATTGTTTTTTTTTTAATGCCAACTGTATTTTTATTATTATATTATTATTATTATTTTGCATTCATTGAAATAAATTTAATTTTTTTAACATATGTATCACATGATTTAATCAAAAATTTGATTTTTTATGGATGCTCTCAGTTTAGCAGATAAATTTCCCAGAACAAACATATCCGCTAAACTGAGACTCACTGTGTATTAATATTTATTTAGAATTTTGCTTATAAATGATGATTTTTTTATTTTTTGTATATATACAAATTGACCAATAACATTTGATTTTATGTGATAAATTTGTGATGATCAACAGCCAATGAAATCAAATGTCTGTCCAATATTGACCAATCATAACATTAATTAAAATCTAGTTGATTTCTTTTTTACAATATGCCACCAAAAGGCAGAGTACCAGAAGAAATATTAAATAAAGTTCGAAATCGTGGTAAGCATTTATTCTTCTTCACTATATGGATGATGCTAAATACTCTAACATTGCACCCATATGTCAGAATATTGGGAGAAATCTCCTTCCAAGTGGGAAAATGTAGAGACATGGGATCATTTCTCCATTGAGAAAAACCCATCTGCAACAAGACACGCATCTCATAATACTTTGGGTGCTGAATTACAAATTTTGATCCGAGATCTAAAACCTGGTACAAAAGCAAATGAAAGGGCATTAGCGATCCAGCATGATTTAAAGGTCAGTAATATTTTTCATGATGGTGAATGTTCTACACCCTATGCTACTGGTATGTGGAAGAAGAGTGTTCAGTCTTATGTACACCAGCATTGTATGCATACCCTGCACTACTGGTGTAGAAAAAAGTGTCTGGTTTATATATCGCTGTATGTGAACATTTTGCACTTTCATGGGAGATGTACCCTGTGACTACTGGTCGAGTTGAGGCCAATTTTGGCTGAGGTGGGAAGCAATCCACAGCATAGCCTATGCTTGTTGTGGTTTGTGCTGTCTCCTGCTGGCTTAGCATATTATTTGCTAATCTTTTTTTACCATCTATTGATGTCACAGGAAAAGGGAAAACATTTCACAGCTCACTTTGAAAATCCACCTCCTTACAGTGAACAATCACATGACAATGAAGATGAGGAAGAACCTAAATCACAAACATTCCCAGAATATGGGATCGTTGAGGAATTAACATTTGATTTGAGTGTTGCCACATTACTCCTACCATATAGAAGAATTCTTGAAGAAATGTGGAATCATCATGTAGAAGAAGAATCGCAACGAGCCCACCACTTATCTTCTATGCTCAAATGGTCTGTTGTGGATCATACTCTGTTCAGGGGATTCGAATCCATTGCCAGCTTACCCAAACCAGCCGTTAATATGTCTTTATTGGAACCTGTTCTTATGGAAACCCAAAATAAACTTATTCACCATGCAGTTATATTTATACATAATTTAATTACAGAAGAAATTGTGGATAATGTAAACTCATTCTGGCTTACAAAATGGTTAACAAAATTATGGGGAGCTCATATGAAGGAGCACTGCATCATTGATGTAGCAACAGCATTGACAGCAATCACTTCTGTTCTTCTCTACTCATCGACATCTTGCCGAGGTCCAGGGAGTAAACCATCAGAAAATCATATAAAAGCTCAAATGTGGACAAAAATCTTTTCAGATACGTTTCTTATTGGCTCAGAAGATATTGATGTGAATTGGGAGTATCACCACCAAATCTCAGGTAACGGTGGAAATGGGTCAGCTAGATCTGATTTTACTGCTGTTATCTTTAACAGCATCAATCAACAATTTCCCTTTTTCATAGTTGAATTTGAGACTGACGGATTTGTAGTACATAAGGATGCAATAACTGTGGTGGCAGAAACTGCATTTGAATACAATCGCATTCTTGCTAGGGTTTGTATTCATGAATATCATAAGGGGGTCACACAGGGTCACACACTATTAAAATCAAGTGATCAACCCATGTTTTTAAGGGATTTTTTGCTGTTTTAATAGTGTGTAGCCCCCTTAATGATATTCATGATATTCATGAATAAAAACCCTAATTCTCGCATCTGTCTACTATTTATCAGAAGATGAGGTAAATGCAACTCGTCTGCATATTGGCCTAGTAAATGGAACAACTATATGTCTAGGTTCAATGAAAGCAGTCTATGATGAAGTAAAAAGATCTTTAATCTATGTATATGGGGCTAACAATGCCACTTTCAAACTTCACACTGGAAATCAAGAGGCTGATATTGCAAGTGCACTGAAGTTAGTGATATACTTGAGGACAAATATATGTCAGGACGGGATGGCACTTAAAATGCTGCTTAATAGGAAAACAAATACATGTAATGGAGCATTGTTGGCAGCTTTGCCTTGTCTTCCTAAGAGAGCTGTCAAGTCACATTCATGTACTACAGAATTCACTCCTAAGGCGAAGAGAGTCAAGTATATTGATATTTTGCTTGAATATTAATAGCCATTTTTTGTTAAGATAAACAGTTGGTGCATAGGAATTAAGGACTGTAGTTAGAGTAGAGTGTCATGTTGTTTATTATTATGTAATTTACGAATCAATAAAAATTATAAATGACATAATATTTTAGTAATCTAAGATTATAATGTGAGACGTGTCTGATCGGTAATAAGGATTAATTAAACCAATTAAATAAACTAAAGTAAACAATGTAATGCGGCTATACTATTCCACATATACCTATGGCTATACTAAAACAAATACAATAACACATGCCAATATAGGCCCACAATTTAACACAAATACAAATACAAATAACTTAAAACTCACGCCTTACAAGACTTAACTCATAAAACACATAAATACACAAAAATAAATAAGAAATATTATTGATGCATTCACCAACAATATAAACGTAAGGGTATGCTAGAAAATAAATGAAATTAATGGAGATGCTAGCAAAATAAGGGTTTGTTGACAATTATTGTAGTTTATTAGTATTTGAACGATTATTATGAGAACAAGATCCAAAAAGGATAATAAAAGTTTAAGATAGGTTTTATAAGTCCAAAAGGGATCCTTGAAACATGAATAAATTTGAAGTTCTTTTAGTAACACAATTATTGTATGGAAATTATACTTTTATACTAATTTAAGAATTAAATAACTATCCATCACTTTTACAAAGATTTTCTAATCTACAAAATCGTCTAATAATTAAATTATAAATATAAAATAAAATAATACATAATAATACGAATAAGTGAACAAATAAATATGATTAAGATACATATATGTAAATAAGAGATACATAATTGATTAATTAAGAGTTTTTGGTTGCATTTCGCGTCTTCGCATGATCTCTATTTTTGGTACATAAATTCGTGTAACTTTAACAAAGTTATTGACATATTAATAAGAGATTAATTAATGCCACACGCTTCGTACTATGTTACGTTTCATTTCGTTCCGTAAGTGGTTGCGTCCCGAACTTACCCACGTGTGGACTTAATTATATTGTGAAGATTTTGATCCAAATTGGTTACGAGTTTACCCTTGGCTTGAAAAAAGTGAAGACAGTACATTCTAGAATCAATAAATTTTTTGTTAATGATGTTTTGAGATGGTGGGATCAAATTAGCCATTTTACAAAATTCATCTATGCTAAAAATCCTATTATAACACCCAGTGTTGTTATGCAATGGAATTGGGAATCTGTAATGATGTGTTCCAGTGTTCCAGCCTTTTTCACTGGAATACAAGGTTACATAAAATTTGAAAGAAAAAATTTAAAATTTCTAATGGGTAAACAAATTTAAAGAAAGCAATTGTTTCTTCATTTTCTACCCATTGGAATGGATTAGCCATCATAGACTGTCATTCTTAACAATAACATTTCAAATGTTTGTTGTTCATGGTTGTAAAGGCCTACCAAGATAATAATCTAATGTTAATTGACTTGTTGAAGAATCATTTGTACATCATTTACAGATTACCAGACAATTACTCTGATTTACCTTTATATTTTTATCAGTACAAACAAATTCATGGAATACATGATTTGGTTTTCTGCCAAGCTTTCTTGACATTTTTATCAAAATGGGTCAAGTAACGCTGGAATCATTGGAAATTTCAGTGTTCCAATGTGGCGCATAATACCCCTTGTTCCATTGAATGTTCCAGTGGTCCAGTGGTTCATATTTCAGTTATTTGTCACTGGAATAAAAATTTAACATCCCTGTTTGGGTATATAACAGTTGAACCGAGCCGAAACCAGACCGAAATTTTCGGTTTGGACTGAATCGTTCGGAGCTTTAGGCTAGAAACTATTTGGCAGTCCTTGGTATTCTAATTTTTGCGCCCTGCTTATTTAGAATTAAATTTATTAATTTCTAGCCTAATAAATTTATTATAGCAACCAGTGTCCCGGATCAAACTTCCATGACATTTAAACAGTTTTGCGCCACTAAATATGAAGTAACGTATTGTGATAAACCTCGGATCCGACAATTGGGCACTTTCATTGTTAATTTGCCTGACACCCATTCCATTTAGGAATGAATCATTCATTACGTTTTGCATCTATGGAAAAATGCTGCAAAGAATGAAAAATACTTGTAAAGTTTATCGCACAACATTTACTAATTACTAATGCTAATACTAAATGATTATGTTATTCCGTGATTAATAATATTCATTATATGTACTCCGTGGTAAGAAATAGTTATTATATTCAAATTTGCACATGCAGAAATTATTTAATACTACTTCAGCAATTAATTCAGTTTAGTTGGCGATGTTTGATTTTTCAATTTTACCAACAATTTAACTCCCTTTCTAATGTTTCTCAAACTACCAAAATGAGCTAGTCTGACAATCCTTCTAGATTTTCTAGATTGTGACAAGTAGAAGAATAGCAACAGTAAGAACATATATGCTTTTAAATTTGTAAATTATTATCAAGTCAAATGAATTTAATTTCTCAATTTCTTATTAATTTGCTCGATTGGACATGTATGATTAAAAAGAAAGAGACTTTACAACGGAAGAATTCATTATACAATCATTATTATTATTATCACCATTATACAGTAATTATTTAATAAACTTCTATGTTATTCTATAAAAATGAATGAAATTTATATTTCTAAATTTCCAGATATTCATTTTTTTACAGCAAAAACAAGACTTGTAAATTGTTATCCATTAAAGATAGAAAAGATCATGTTCTTCGATATATATTTTTGAATCTTATCAAATTCTTCTGCCAAACACAAAAGTGTTTTACGATGTGAAAAGTATTCATTTTATGAAAAATTGTTCGATATTTTGGCCAGAACCTTCATATTTTTGCAACATTTAGATTTCCAATCAATCATCTATTATCTGACATGCTTGTTCTTAATATTAATTTGAAATTCGCTAAACATTAATTTCTTTTAAAACCTGCTACTACTACTACTACTATTATTACTTCTGCTTTAAAAACCTGTTACTGGTATTTCTATTGCAATTATGGTTGGTACATACGGCAAAGGATTTAGCCATATTTCCATTGACCCTTACGTCAATCCCCGAATGAGACTAGCTTACTTACTGTGCATAAAAGCTTGACCAATAATATTTTATTATTTTTAAACCATAATTTATCTTGTCAGAAAATGTATCAACAACCACCACCACCTCCTCCAAATAATAACAAAAATAACAATGTACCTGTTTATCAAACATATTATCCACAACATTCAGTTTCACCACCACCATTGCAACACCCAATTCCCACACATCCACCTTTTCAAATGCGCGATCCACCCACCTCACCCTCACCACCAACACAACAACATCACCAACAACCAATACACCTTTCACCTTCCGATCCAAGTAATATTTGGGTAAATGACGCTACAGCTCAAATGGGCGTGCAGTTTGGAAGAAGTGCGATGATGGCTGGAAGTGAATACGTAGAGAAGAATGTTTGTACTTTTTTTTTTTTAATTACTTTTCACTCTCACGGCATTAATCGATTTATTAATCATTAATGCTTATAACTATATTTATATTAGATTAATAGATACTTTAATTTTTTTGCTTTAAAACATTATTTTAAAGTAAATAATTCATACGTGGCCAACAAAATTAGGTTATTGTTATTTCCATGGAGACATCGTGTAAGAGAAGATTCTTTATTTATGTAAATTAGAAAAATACCAAATTAAAACCAAAATCAAGGCATATAAATATCTATCGTAAATTTAAATTTAAATAAATCATCAATCAATCAGTCAAAACAAACAATTATATTTATTAATATTTTTTAAAAAAAATCTATATCTCTCTAGCCATGGTCCAGACTTGTTATACGATCAGAACAAAATGGTCAAATGGAAGGTTATAGGCCACCAAGAGAAGACATTAATTCACCTGATTTATACATACCAGGTATCTTTTGAAAATTTTTAATTTTTAATTTGATTTTTTTTAATTATTCTATTAACACTTAATATGCAAACTTTCTTTTTTTCCTCCTTTTATTTCTCTCTCTTGTAAAAAAAAAAAAGCAATGGCATTTGTAACTTATGTATTATTAACTGGAATTGTTGCTGGAACTAAACACAAGTATTTAATTATTAGAAAAAAAATTTTTTTTTTTTTAATGAAAATAAAATAATTTATATTTTTAAATTTTTTGTTTTTTTAAAAAAAAAAACTCATTAATAACAAATATTTGGAATTCTTTAGATTTCATCCTGAAGTTTTAGGAATAAATGCCACAACTGGATTACTCTTGGTGATATTGGAGTTACTATTTATTAAAATTGGTTGTTATTTATTGAATATTACTTCTGAAACACAATTTTTAGATTTTCTTTCATATTCTGGTTATAAATTTATTGGGTAGTTATAAATTATATACAATATTTAACAATATATGAATTATATTATATTATGGTATTTAACATTTTGATTTCATTATTTAGTGTAATTATTACACTTGTGGTTTCTTTGATTGCACCATTTTGGTTTGTTATAGGAACTTTCTTTTATACAGCTTTTGCAAATGGATTCTTTCTGGTATTTAATTAATTATCAACAAATAATTTATAACACAACATTATATAAATATGAGATTTTTAAGTTTTAAATTGTTTATTGCTTACACTAAAAAAATAGTTAAGGTCTCTTCGATATGTTGTTTTCCCAGATTCAACAAATACAGTTCAAGTTCCTCAACGAAAAAGAAGAATTCATTTCCTTTTTGTTGTTTCTGCTTTACAAGTTTTGCTTATGTATTATCTTATACATAATGCTTAAAAACAAAAATAAAGAATTTTATTTTTATTTAACTTTCAGAGTAATGTACTGTGCTTTGTATATATAATAATATACGGACATGCTGCAACAAAAGCGAACATTATGTCAAAAAGAACTTTAGGAGTTACATTACAAATTGTATTTACCACCTATTGCGCATTTACTACTACAATTCCATGCTTGCATGATTTTGGAACTAGTAACAAAACCAACAAAACCAAATTAACTAAAAGTGAAGGAATCAAAAACCAAGTATAATATTTATCCAAAAAGATTTTTTTTTTTTTGGGGCTGGGCAATATCTGCATTTAATTCAATCTAAAAATGGGAAAGCAAGGACCCAGATTTTGTGGGCAGAAAGAGATAAATCTTGACAAATCCATTCCCTTGTTAAAAAATAGGAAACTCACTTACTTCAATAAGTTATCAAGCCAATCCCAAAAGAAGCAAAACGTAAACACTCTTGAATTAATTATGCCGTTTTTTTTTTGATTAATTAGATAGATGTCTATTAATCGTATCTTCAAGTATTCTCATTTTCTAAAAAGTCTAATAAACCCAAAGAATATATTTATTACTTGCACCATTTAAAAATTTTAATTTTTTAATGGTAAATAACGTCAATTTAATAATCTAAAACTTTTCTGGAATGGTAGAATGTTAAAAAAGAAGAAAAATCAAAAACCATATCCTCAAGTCCATCAGAAATGTCAGGAACAGAAACGGAGTTGTCCGTTGGTGGTTTCGATTATCGTTTATGAAATACCATTTCTGACTCTTCTGCGAAAAAAATAGAATTTGTTCAAACCGCTAAAGTTGTTCTGCCTACGAAAGTAAAGAAGGCAAACCAAGCAATTAATAAATGGGATATCAAAACTCTCATTAATTTTTTGCAAGGGCGAGATTTAAAACTTAATGATAAACGTTTTAAAATAATCGACAAAGAACAGACTGTTGGTAAAGACCTTCTTGTCTTGACAAAAGATAAATAAGCTCACAAAGTATGGCGTACTGGAAAAGAATCATAAATCTACTTGATGAACTCAAAGAATAAAAAAAAAAGAGCGTATTCTTATACAAAACTAAAGAATATCGCAAGGTGTTATTAAAGTATGGAATAAACTGGACTCCGCATTCAAACCACCAGGTAAGTTGGCATTAGTAAGCAGTAAGATTGTAAGTTTAAAGCCGACTTATATTTTTCTATAGAAGTGAAGATAACGACAAAGAGTTACAGCGGTGCATAAATCCAGAATGGGAACATAGGTCCAATAACGAAGCCGTATGTTGTTCGTATATTGAAACGTTATTACATGCGTTCATCTACATTGTCAAAAGAATCACTCTAGATCCTTAGTTCAAAGACATGGGCGACGAGGAAACAGGTCGAGTCTACTATGCGAAGAAGCACTTATTTGTATCACAAAATGAAGACAGGAAGATTTGATCGCGGGTTTTATGCAAAATATAATGAAATGTGGAGGTTTATACCAGACAAATAAGAGAAAACGAAAAGTGAATGAGGCATTTGACGAAGAATTGTAATTTATCTTTTGCCAAAATATCTGTGATAGATATAACTCTTGACTTCCTCAATGTTAGCATCGGGTTGGTATTTCATCTTGTATACACCAGAAAAAAATTATTGTACAAAGGCGGATTACCACATTGCACTCATCAAAGACACTTAGAAATGACGCAAAACTTCGTGAAGGTGTGAAAACAGTCATGGAGGTAATCATGGGTTTGTTGTAGTACAGGGATGACGTAGATGATTTTCCCGCTATATAGTAAGAAGGCTAGAACGGAAAAATACATCCCGAAAGAGGAAAAAATATATGTACACGGACTGATGTAATATGTTTTAGTGTGTGCTAATAAAACAGACCCTCGGATCAATCCTTTACTTATGAGGTAACCTTTGTTATTTTTCCGCATGGCGTGGGGTAGTTGGAGCTAATCTTTCTTGATTCAGATTTGTCTTTCGGCTGAAAATATTTAGAGCTTTAATAGATATCAAGATTTACATTAATGATCAGAGTCCCGACTTTATGATTTTTGCTTCACAAGGTCTATAATTCAAATTCATTTACGTCGTCTTTTACAGCAGTGCATATTTAACGTATGAAATAAGGTGATTTGTATCATTAGTTCATTTCACATAAGAAAAAGTGCAAAATAATTGTTTATGATTTTTTTTTTCAACGAAACAAACAAATAGTTAAACGAGAATAATCCTGCTGATAAAAAAAATTAAAGGCTGACAGTTTATGCGCCTATTCCATATTTTTGTGCTAATTCAATATTTTTTGATTGTAATTTAGAATCATTTGTTTAAAGAAATTATTAATTTAATATAATTTTTAGTCCGCAAACTCATTATATCACATGAATTTTATTGATTATTAAATTAATTTTTGGGTAATTATTTATTATTATTAGAGCATTTATTAAAAGAAATTATAATGATTATATAAATAAAATTAAATTAAATAAATAATTTAAATTCCTCTAGCTTTTAAATATTCGTTATATCTTTTTTCAAACAATTGGCGTTTTCTTTTTGTAGGTGCAGCAGGTGCAGCAGGTGCAGGTGCAGGTGCAGCACTTGTTGTAGCATTTTGTAATGGATTATGGATTGGTTTATTTATACAACCACCAATTGTCTTGACATTGAAATCTTTACCAGTAACTATAGGGAAGATTTTAGGAGCCAAGTCAACAGTTTGTTGATAAAGATCATGTTCTAATGAGATATGACCAGCTTTAGCTGTAGCGTCATTAACCCATGCAGTGAAATTGTTGGTGATATAGTCGACTGGGTATGTAGGATCCTGTACAACCATCCAGTCGTTGGAATCGAGCTCCCATAATACAATTGTGTAGCCTAATTGTTTAGCTATATCTCTAACACGATCATCGAAATCACCTTGTGGTGGTCTAAGTACATTGGGGGTTACTTTGGCATATTCTTGGATTGCACGCTCTGTCCATTTGATTTCGGCGATAATTTGTTCATTAGTTTGAGTTGTCAAAGGTGTATGTGACCAAGTGTGAACACCAATTTGATGACCTGTTAATAAATTATAATTAATTGTTTATGATGTGTGTGTGTGCATGGTTGTAATGTGATATTTGAAATAAACTGATTGAAAAAAATACTTACCAGAATCAACAGCTCTTTTTAATATATCAGGGTTGGATATAACACGTGAACCTACAACAAAGAAGGTAACTTTGACCTTGATTGTATCTAAATAAGTAAGCAATGTTGCGGTGGCATTTCTATTAAATAATAATTTATAGAAAAAAAAAACAAATTTAATTAATAATTTTAATAATGTAAAATAAAATAATAATGATAGATGATGATAATACTCACGTAGGTCCATCATCGAAAGTGAATGCCCAATCTAATTAATTAATTAATGTGAGAATTGGTTAGTCGGTGATTAAGAGTCAATTAAAATTTATTATTTAAATAAATAAACCAAGATTACCTTTAACGGTGGGGCAGGTGGCAATATCTTCTGGTTTAAGACATTTTGTACAAGTCCATGAACAAAAGTTATCAGGAGTGGTACAATCGCCGACAGCTTTAGCGACTGGAGCTTTTGCTACTTTAGTAAGGTCAACTAAGCTCGTCCAGGAATTGTCAAGTGGTGGAGGGACATCGAGTGGAGGCCATTTTACTGATGATGGTGGTGTTTGACAATTAACAAAGTTTGTTGTTGTTAATAATAGGGCAATTAAAATAGTTGATGTAAAATAACTGATTGAAACCATTTTTATTATTATTATGTAAAGAAATTGAAACAAAGAAAAGGAGGGAAAGATGGAAAGAAAGAAATGGAATAAAGGATATATTTTTTTTTTAAAGAAAGTAATTTGATGAGAATGAGGAAGTTGAGGATAAGGAAAGGTGTTGAGAAAAAGGGAGTTGAAGAAAAAGAAATAAAAAATTAATTAAAAGATTTTTTTCAATTCACACATTTTTATATCAAATATGATAATTAATAATTTCAATTTTATTTGGATATACAAGGCAGTGAAAACCTTTTTGTCCAATGTAAACAATAATTTATTAAAAAGTATCACACAAAACACAATAATTTATATATTATTATTGTATAAAACTAGTTGTTCGATGTACTTGATCAATCAAATGTATATGCATATCTCACTTTTTCGAGATTTATTATATTACTATTATTATGCATGTAGAGAAAAATTCTTGGTATATTTTTCCTAATACTAAAACCACTCTTTATTGCCAAAAAATATTAATTTTTTTCTTGAATATCAACATAATTAATGTAATAAATATAAACGAAAGTAAATAAATACACAAGTGACACAAAACATGGAATTTTTCTCTTTTTAGGTGAAGATACCTTCATCACTCATTAAATTGGAACGAATTAATATTTTTTTCCAAAAACAATGACGAAAATACCTGCAACCTATTTTTATCATCAGGAAATTAGCAGTTAATATTTTCTCAAACAAAATTAAAAGTAACAATCAAAATTTTATGATGTTTATTTTATTATAATAGCAATGATAGATGAAATACTCACGTTTCTTCAATCTGATTTAAATCATCAATTGGATTTGCTAAAGAGACAACAGCAAAGATAATCAAGAAGAGAAAAAGGAAAGTATTGAATTTTTATTTTGATGGTTCAGTCAGCTCTCACTTTTCCTTTTCAAAATTATGTGAATTTTTCGGTTATTCTTCGTGATCAGCGATCTCGGTCTTTTTTTTAGATAAATGATGTGTCGGCCGTTTAACCCGACTTGCATAAAATCGATATCAGATATATTTTCTATATTAATATATACATAATTCCATTTCACAAGCCTGTCATTTACTTGCCCCCAAAATACTAATACCCGTAGTGAATAAAAGATAAAAGAAAATAAGGTAATAGTGATAATAATACTAGTAAACTGTGTCAATTGATGATTAATTGAATAACAATAACAACAACAATATTATTATTATTAGCAGTATTAATAATGAACTATTTAATATTCATAATGATTTTTATTATTATGACTATTATAACAACTATTATTGTGACTATTGTTATTATCCCTTTTCCTTCTCTCCCACAAAATAAAGAGCGTAGAGTGGACAAATCTAGCAGCGGTTCAAAAAAACAGTTTATGTGTTAATAATAAAATATATTTAAAATAGAAATTATCTTGCAAGTAATGTTTATCCTTGGTTTCTGATCTTCTAAAAGGGCGATTAGAAAAGGACGTGACACAGTTATAAATGGCTGGTGGGTGCCCCGGTCCTTTTCTAACTGCACTTTTTTTTTACATCTGACATTTAAAGCTTGTATTTTTATTCTAGGCAAGCTTAAAAATCAAAATTGTTTGGCATAACCTGGGTCAATGAAATAAAATTGCATGACAATTAAACCATAAAATTTAATTTAATTAAAGGAAAATAGTTGGCTTTACGAAATCATTTCCTTTTAACAACAAAGCTGAAAACCCTATCAAAGCGGTTAATATTGGTAAATAGAGTTGTTTTAAAATATATTTTTTTTTTCGACTTTTGATTTTGAAGCTAACTATGCGTAATAATAAATATTAAAGCGCACTCGAGCTGTCTTTAGCGTCTGGAATTGGACACACACGGACTGATCAATATTGGTGGTACGTAGTACGACTTTTACATATAGGTTTGGTGAAGATTTTTGCGAGTTTTAATTTTGAAATTTTAAAAGTGTCAAAATAAAAAAAACAAAGAATGCTAAAATTATTTATTATTGAATAACGATGAACCAATCACTAAAGTTTGATGTTTTTTTTTATGTTGAAGTTATTCTTTTAATAATGCAATTTCAAGATTATATTAATGATTTCTTAAAATAAAACTAAATTATTATCACGAGAAAAGAATTGTTTGTTACACGCATCCGCAAATAATATTAAAACCTCCTCTATTATATTCATTAAAAAAAATGCCAAGTCAAATTTTAAATTTTATAACGTCATACAATAAATTATTATCGTTAGAAAGAAAGGAATTTGTACTTAAAATTTATAATGATATGTATGATTGTTTAATTCTTGGTATTGTAAACAAGGTTTACAACTACCAATCTTACCAGGAATGCATGATGATTATGCACAAATGATGCAGAGATGTTGGGATGTGAATCAATCAAAAAGACCAAGCTTTTTATTTTTGCTGATGATAAATCGAATGAAATTCTTAATAATAATAATAATAATAATAATAATAATAATAATAGTAATAATATCACTACCGGCGATAGTAGTATTTCGCAAAAAGTACATAAATCACATCCGGGTGCATATAATACAAGTAGAATATTAGATGAAGAGATTACTAAATCTAAAAGCTTAAAAGATTATTATTATATAAATCATGATAGTTATCAAATGATCTTGGTTTTTTAACTCTATCCTCTTAAATGCTGAAAACTGGAAATTACTATCCATTAATTATTATCAAAAAAATTTTTTTTTATTCTGATTTAATTAATTAGATTCCAGTAATAATAGTAAAAAAATAATTGATGAATGACTAATTTATTCTCCAGTATAAATTTATTCGTTATATCTTTATTTCGGGCTACTCTTGTTAGTTAATCGCAAGCAATATACTATAATTCTGCACTTGTCAGTTAATTACAAATTTACTTTGGTTCTCGCTTACTGCCTTTTTTCTTGTATGCAAATCTATAAATACACTTTATAGGATTTATGACCAGATAAATAAACAAAGTTGGCTCTTTTAAAAAGTTCAAAGGCTTTTATAAAGTTCGTTTTATTCGTTTGTGCCACCTTGTTTATATTTATTGGCCAATTGCAAACTTTGACTTATAAAACAGCCTAAACAGTTTGTCTTTAACAGCCTTACGTTTACAATTTCCAATATTTCCAATTAACCTTTGGGTAATACTTCACTAACCATTGTTAGCACTTGCTAATTAACCAATGTTGGCATTAAACCTTGCTTACTCACTAAAAGTTACCAATCGTTGTTAACACTCACTAGTTAACCAACGTTAGTCCTAACCTTTGCTTACTCTCTAAAGAAAATAAAACGTGAATTTTTACCAAGGCAACCCACTTGTTGCTTTAACAAAAACACCCTAAACAAAGAAACTAAAGACAGCATTTTTGTTTTTTTTAAGTATTAGTTTCATTTAAAATTACAAAGTTTTATTTTATTAGATTGTTAATTGTGTATTTATTTTTCCTCTGTTCTTTTCAAGCGAGAACTTGAAGTTGTTTCTAAAAAAATTATGTTTTAATAAAAAAATTGACCTAATAATGTCAAATGTAAACATTAAACATTAATACTTGAAAGTTAGTTTTATCTATTTAGAATTTATTTTATACATATTTTAAAATAAATAATTTCTTCATGTTATGAAAACTTGTTAATAAATAAAATTGCACATATGTGCTTATTAGTAGGTGGGCAACTACTTTAAATTGTTGTATCTATTTATATTTCTATATATGTATTTTTTTAAAATATTTATTTTTTATTTTTATTTTTTATTTTTTATGTTTTTTTTTCCCCTTATGTATTGTTATTCAATTGTTTTGTGTCTAGACCAGCCTTTAATGAACCAACTGTGTATTGCTTTGTATTGGATTTGTTTTGTATCTTCAAGGTTGTTGTTGTTGTTAGTGTGATTATTGGTAGTAATTGGCCCAATCCCTACTATGTTTGCGTTTTTTCATTTTTTGTAATTTTCCCATTCTATAAGTTTTTTATTTCTTTCTTTCCATTCATCATAGAATTCTTGGCAATTAGTCATGTGATAATTTTATTTGTTTTTTGTTTTTGAAGATGTTTTTGTAATTGGTTTGTGTAATTATTTTTATGCCAAGTGAGAAAATTAGATTCTTTAGATCAGTGTTATCAGTTAATTGTTTTATTAAATTGGTTTTTGTGCTTAGTGTTGCTTTTTTGGAATAATATAATTTGATAATTTTATCTATGTTGTTGATAAAGTTTGCTTTGTACGTTTGATGTGATATCTGAACGTCCTTTGTTTAGTATGTTCATTGTGGGTAAGTTTTTGTGATAGCTTTAATTTAAACATTAATACTAAATATTCATATTAAGTATTGTTTCTATACAACAGTAAAAAATAAAGAAACCAACGTAAAATTGTAAAGTCTATCTATCAGCGCCGTAGAAAAAATGTTTATTTCTTCTTTTGTTATTACATCTCATAAAATGAAAAATATCAAATCGCGTTCGAATTGTCTTTAATGTCTGAGTTGAAACACACATAGACAGGTTAGACCAAACGATTATTGACAATTGCAGTCTTGGCCTCTTAAATAATGTCACAGTTAAATATTTGACGCCAAGGAACACTTTAAACCAGATTTTCCTGCAGGTGTTGAAAGTTCTTCCAACACGTGTGGGGCATATTCCGTGAAACCCGGGCAGAAGATTTCTATAATACCGACACAACGAACAATTGTTTTTAAATTCGGTCTTATCCGGTTTGTTTCATAATCTAATGGAACACTATTGCAGTAATATGATTATTTAAAAAATAAAGATTATAAAAAAAATTTTTTTTTTTAAATTAATAAATAAAATAAAATATTTACTTGAGGAGAAAGGAATGACGTGGGATTGGATCGGTTGTTATCATTAGAGTTAAGTAAATACAAATAAAAGTTGGTCACCAAACATTATTAACTTATGATAAACTTATTATCGCTCTAATAACACTTACACTCTTGTGACAGCTAGTTTGTTTTTGTTTTCCTCCCGTTGGTTACTCTTGTTTTTTAAAAAACAATAATAATTTTGTAACACAAAAAATTACAGAACATTGTTTGGTTATTAAAGATTTTCTTGAATTCGACATATTTGTAAAAGCCAAGTATAATAATAATATACTCGTACAAGAAAGGTTCATGGTTTTTCCTTATTTGGTTAATGTGAATTTACTTTTTTTAAACCTAAAAAAAAAATTATAACCCTTATACGTATTAAAATACTACTATCACATTGTCCGTGTAACATCATTTAAAAACGAGAATAATTAATATTAATATAAATATTAATAAACAAACAAAAAATCCATTAAACTGTACTCCATTAATTTTTATAAGTGTTCCATTTGATTAAATCGTAGGAACTGGTATTGTAACAAGAATATTTGTTGTCTGGCTTTCTTGACAGAATTTTCCATGAGTTATATTCTAAATTCGTCTTCGATGATTGAGTGTATATGTATGGAATATGAGGTTATCAGGAAATTCTTATTTTTCAATTCCTGAATGAACGATAAAAACAATATTTTAAATACTGCCTTCTTGAGAGATCTTAGATTTCAACTTTTCTTGTATAAAAGCTGATTCAATTCATGATTCAAGATTGAAAAGCATGAACTAGAAAGGTCTTGGCCAAATTAAAAAAGTAGTAAAAGCAATTAATTAATATTTGATTAACATATATGAGAATCTTGAATTTAAAAATACACGAAATTTACTTTGTCTCAATTTCTTAAACATATAACAAAATGCTAAGGCTCTGTCAATTTTTAGTTTAAGAAATAACTAGCTGATAAGTTTTGAAGCTTGATTCATGAAACAATAAAATTTATCGGCTAACTTTTTTAAAATGATATAAAAACTTTTGTTTTAGTATTTTGAAGCTGACCAATTGTTACTATAAGCAATTAATTGATTATAGATGATCTGTATTTTTGCAGAATGCAAAGGACAACACAGCCTAAACTATAAGCGCTGCCCAAAAGAATCCTAAATCCCAAATTGCTTTGTACATCCCAAATGCAAATCAACCTTCTGCCCTTGTTTACTATAGAGAGAATGTTAGGGCCTTTTGTAGTTCTAGAATACAAAAAGAGTTTTTTTTTAAATGACCAACGAAAAAATTACTTCTTTTTTTATTAGTTAAATAATAAATAATAACAATAAATAAAAATCTAAACTTCGAATGATATGAGTTACATGGAAAAGCCTTAATCAGAATAATGTTATTACATCATTTAATCTTCAAAATAAATAAAAACATCAATGAATTTAAAGTAAAAACATACTTTGAGCAAATCAATGCTTTCCTAACCAATAAGTATATACAGTATTACAAAGAGGTTACCAATCACATTCACAAAATCTTAGGCTGATATGGGTGTAATAAAGTAGTTTGGGACTCGGAAATTCTTTGAGAGGCTGGCCCAATTCACTTTGTACATTTGGGATTTGAGCAGCACGTGTATATGTTTCCTTGTATTTTTTAGAATTAAGCTAAAAATTTATTATGAAAGTTTTGCTATTTGGTTATATGAACTACAATGCTTTTTTCCTATTTATGTTTCAGCTTTATCTAACCCAACCTAAATATTCATTGATAAAACTTATATGTTAATTCTTGAAGCACTACAACTTGAAGTTCTCAGAGTTCCAAATAAAATCCATTATCAAACCCTGCAGGAATTCCATGTGTATCTCCATCAAATAGTTCAGCTGCGGGAATACTCGTTTGGTATGTTGCAATGCCAGCCACATTACAAAGGGGATAATTATGATCACCATTAGATGAATCAATACATCCAACACCAATAAAGTTATCAGGAGGAACACCCATACCATTATTAATATTAGTAATATAGGTCACAGTATTCTGATGTGGACTTGCTGTTCCAAAAGAGATGACACGAACTGGAATCAATGGTGTTAAGCTTGTACAAAGGCATAACACAACAATTAATACAATAGTATGGTCTACATGAGGTTCAAATATCTTAACCATTAGCACAATTTGGATGGTTGTTTGCTGAGAAAAAGAAAAGAGCTACTTTTTGATGAAGGCCAGGAAAACTCTGAGTGTGGCCAACTTCAATAATCATTGTTGGGTATACTGTTCTAAGGTTATTTGCTGATATTCTTCCATGAGAATAGGTAGGTACTTCATATGCGATAATTTTTTATCTTGTAAGTATAGATGGGGTATGCAGAATTTAGAGGTAAATAATCTCGATTTGAATATTCTCAGCATGCTTAGAAATCAATTGGCTTGTTTTTATGAATATTATATGTATAGCTTTATTAACGAAAAATCAAAATAAATGGAAATGAGTACACCCATTATTCGGAATCTACCGTTGAACTTCCTGTACAATTTTGTTAATGGCGCACAAGGTATCAAAGACGTATTAATGTACAAGATATTCTGTAGAATACAATAACATGGAGGTTAGAAATTTTATGGGTAAGTTAAAACCCGTTTAGGCGCGGAGAAAGAATACCTACCCTCAAAATCGACAAGATAAATTTAGCCACGACAGCCGAGTAAGATTGTTGTACCGGAACTTTTGACTCTTTTAGATGGTAATATATGCCAATGTTAGCCCGATTTCTCAAAAGAATATTCAGATATAACATCGATCCTGCTACTTGTAATCCAATAATTCCAAACTTGTCCTTCTCGGGCTTGCAACCTTTGTGGATTAATGTCATCCCATCTTTTGTCTCATGACACAACTTTACAGTATCATCATCCTTCTTATTGTTTTGTTGTTTGTAGAAAATAATCACTATACATAAGTTCATAATTCTTCGATCCATAATAAATAACATAATAACAAACATGATAAATATCCGGGGTTCCTGACTACCCCGGCAACCATTTTTAGAGAAACATGTAAAAAAGGTTACGATCGTCATGATAAAAAATCTTGTAAAAAAAAAATGGGTAAAAAGAATAAAAAAGGAGGAAAAGGTATAAACTTCAATAGATTAAACAATCAATTCATTTGCCTAGCAAAATATCAAATTGTTATAATTATTATTTTCATAAAATCAATAGGACGTTTGGATAAGTATTATCATTTAGCAAAGGAACATGGCTATAGAGCTCGTTCAGCCTTCAAATTAATACAATTGAATAAAAAGTATAATTTTTTAGAAAAATCAAAATGTTTGATTGATCTTTGTGCAGCACCCGGTGGTTGGTAAGAAAATGAGTATATTTTTAACTTAGTAGTGGCAAGGAAGAAGAAAAAAATGTTTAATTATATATAATAATAGGTTACAAGTGGCTAGTAAATATATGCCTATGTCAAGTTTAATTGTTGGTGGGTGGAATTATTGCTCTTTCTTATTATTTTTAAAAAATTTACTTATTGATTATTTTTTTTAAAAATTAGGAGTTGATCTTGTACCAATTAAACCAATACCAAAAATTATCACTTTACAAGAAGACATTACATCTGAAAAGTGTAGAAGTGCTTTAAGAAATCAATTAAAAACATGGAAAGCTGACGTGTAATTATAAATTAAAATTATGGTTAAATGATTAAGGATTAACAATCAATGATAAATTGATATCATAATTATCATAAAAATCTTATTTAATACATATCACTTCATTAATTTCATTTTATTATTAATGATTTAGCGTGTTACATGATGGTGCTCCAAACGTTGGTATATCATGGATACAAGATGCTTATTCTCAATCAGAGTTAACTTTAAAAGCGTTGAAATTAGCTGTTGAATTTTTAACTAAAGGAGGTAATTATGCACACAAATAAATAAATGAAATTATGATTATAAATATTATTATGTTATGTATTTACAAATCTAATTACATTTATTCTAGGAATATTTATAACAAAAATTTTTAGATCAAAAGATTATAATAATTTATTATGGGTATTTAATCAATTATTTAATAAAGTTGAAGCAACCAAACCTGCTTCTTCGAGGTATTTTTTTTATTTTTTTTATATCTTTTGTTAGTGTAATAAATTATTTGATGCATATCTCACATTCTTACATATATTTCATATAATATAGAAATGTTTCAGCAGAAATTTATGTTATTTGTAAAGATTTTATTGCACCGAAAAAGATAGATCCAAAATTCTTAGATCCAAAATCAGTATTTCAAGATATAGATTCCGCGCCATCAACAACATCATCATCATCAGCAAAGAAATTTTTAAATCCAATTTTAGATATATTGCATCCTGAAAAAAAGAAAAGGCAGAGAGAGGGATACGAAGAGGGAGATTATACTTTGTATAAAGAAATTTCAGTTTTGGAGTTTATTAATACTGATGATCCTGTAAAATTACTTGGCAGTGTTAATAAACTGAAATTTGATGATGATGGTCAAGAGTGCGTAAAATATTAAATCAAATTTATTTTTTAATATTTAATTTATTTACTTGCTTACTAACATAATACATTTGTTTATTAGATTATTAAACCATGAATTGACTACCGAAGAGATTAAATTATCTTGTGAAGATTTAAAAGTTTTGGGTAGAAAAGAATTTAAAAATTTAATAAAGTGGAAAAATAATATGGAAAAATTAGTAAGTTTGTAATCATCATAATTATACGTATTATTAAAATAATAATAATAATAATAATATGTATGAATTGTTCTAATATATTTATTTATTTTAGAGAGAAGAAGAAACTAAAATTGAAAAAGTAGAAAAAAATGATCAAGAGCAAGAATCGATGGATGAAGATGAATTGATTCAAGAAGAAGTAAACTGAATATTATATTCATATTTATAAAACCCTCCACTTCCTGACATTCAATTGAATATCTTTTATTTATTAGCTTGAGAAACTTACAAAAGAGGAATTAGCACGCAAGAAAAAATTACGTAGGAAAACGAATGAAAAACGTCAAAAAAATACGATTAAAATGCAATTGAAAATGATTACACCAGTTGATATTGCATTAGAAGATTCAATTAATGGTGGTGATGACAGCTTATTTAATCTAAAACTTATCAATAAAACAGGAGTATGATTATTTAAATATATATATATTTATTTATTATGTATATTGTTTATAACAATCAATAATAAATAATTAATATATATTTTTAATAACCAGGCTATCGATAATATTAGAAAAGGTGATATGGACATTATCCTGGACGACGATGATTTTGCAGATGATAATGATATTGTAATTGATAACGATAATGATAAAAAAGAATTAAGAAAGAATAAAGGCGATGATGATGATGATGGTGATGATGATGATGATAATGATGAAAGTGATGATGATTCTCAGAACTTGGAAGAAGAATTGGATAATATGTAAATAATTTTCAAATAAATGTTTAAATATATATTATTTATTAATTAATTGTATTAATACTATTTTTTATAGGTATGAGCAATATATAGAACGTAAACCATTAAAGCCTTCAAATTCCTATCCCACTTTTGAAAAATTATCTGACAGTGACAATGATGATGATAAAGGTGACAGCGACAGCGACAACGATAATGATGATGATGATGATGATGATGATGATGACAGTGAAAGTGATAATATCAATGATTATGATGATAAAGATATGGATGAATATGAAAGTGAAAATGAAAGTGAGGATGAGAATGAGAATATTGTTAAAGATGAGGATGATAATGTTGACTTGAAAATTATTACAAAAAATAAGTCAAGTGAAAATATTGAAAAGAATGGAACAGTCAAGTCCAATGGAAAATCATTAAAACGTAAAGCTGCTGAGGTAAAATTAAAATTAAAAAATATTTATTATTTATTTATTTGTTTTTATTTTTAAAAAAAATATTTTTTTTAATAGATTCAGGATGATGATAATGACGAAGATATAGAAATAGTTCCTGTTGATAAAGACAGTGATGAAGAAATGTGGGATGCCAATATACCTGACGAAGATGAAAAAAAGATGAAAAGAGCCCAAAGTAACCATTTCCTATAAAAAAAAAATATTTTTATTCTTAAATTCATTGGGGTTTTTTTTTAAACCGAATACATGCCTTTTTATTATGTAGAAATTGGATTGATTACAGCAGAGGCAATAACACTTGCACAGCAATTAGTAAATGGTAAAAAGACAAAAGAAGATTTGATTGATGATGGATTTAGAAGATATGTTTATAATGATAAGGAAGGATTACCATTATGGTTTGCTGACGATGAGAAAAAACATAATAAACCAAATCTACCAATCACTAAAGAAGCTGTAAATGTCATTAGAGAAAGAATGAAAGCTTTAAATGCTCGTCCTATAAAAAAGATTGCAGAAGCCAAAGCAAGGAAAAAGATAAGAGTAAGTAGTCATAATTAAAGTTGATATTTCTTTTTAAAAAACAATAACTAAATATATTTTTGAAATCAAATAAAAAAACTTGCATATAGGTTGTTAAAAAACTCAAGAAATTACAAAAGAAAACTGATGCAATAGCAGATACTAGTGACATGACAGAAAAAGAAAAGGCCAATACAATTTCTAAAATGGTTGGTAAAATACAAAAGAAAACTAAAAAAGATATTAAACTGGTTGTTGCAAAAGGTTCTGCTAGAGGTATTAAAGGCAGACCAAAAGGAATCAAAGGAAGATACAGGGTATTTTATTTAATTCATATAAATAATATATTTGGTGAATTTTTATTTGCTTTTTTTTTATTAATAATGAACTTCCCATTAGATGGTTGATGGTAGGATGAAAAAAGAATTAAAAGCAAAAAAGAAATTTGAAAATAATAAATCTTCCAAGAAAAAGGTTCCAAATAAACGAAAACGTCAAAAGAAATAATTTTTTTTAATTTAATAAAATCTTTTAATTTATTTAATTATTTTTTTGTTAAATTAAACCCTATTTGACATTATGCATAAATGTGAATACTGACTAACAAATATATTGTAAATTACACAATTTGTGAAGCTAAAACCTCTTGTGAATATTATATAAATCAATGGCAGAATTATTGCTGACAACTATACCAAGAACTATAATATTATACCCTAACATTTGAGCCCCCGCAACAATTTGGAGATCCCAGAAAATATCTGAAATCGAAATGTTGACTTAATAGGCAGGAAGATCAGGAGTAGGATTCTGCAAGTGTCCATGCTGGGCACTGTTGGCATCATGCCAGGCACTAGTGCCATTGCCCAAATGCCCTTTTTTTTTTAATTCGGCACCAATGCTTCTTCTGCCTGTGCCAGTGCCTGCACCTCAATATTTTAGGCACATGCCAGTCATGTCCGCTGGATATTTTATAAGAGTGTGGCATTTTTAATAAATAAATTTATACTTTCGCAAAATGGTAGTTTATGTAATAGTCAAACAAATTGATCCAATAAAATATTAAAAAATTCTCTACTTTTTCAACCTTTAAATCTGATGTACATATATAGAAAAGCTTTCCTGATGAATTTAATGGGATAAAGCACATGACATCATGCATCGCAAAGTTGGGTTATACGAATAATAATGATAGTTCATTAAATAATCTTGGTTTAACTCTTTTCTCTTAAATACATTAAATTCTAGTAACAATAGTAATGATACTACTACTAATGGTAATAATGCTTCGTAACAAGTACACAAATCACATCCAGGTGAATATCATACAAGTAGAATATTAGATGAAGGGATTGTTACATAGCTTAAAAAGTTATGGAAGAAATGATAGTTCGTTAAATAATCTTTATTTTAAATCTTTTCTCTTAAATGCTAACAAAGGTGAATAAAAACTTCATTATTAATACATTGGAAATTAATTATTACTAGTAATATTTTTTAGATTTTAGTAATAGTAGTAAAAGAAATAGAATTGATGAGTAAATTTGTTCATTGCATTGTAATTATTCTTTATAATATTTCTTATATTTGCAGTTTTTAATTCTTGTTAAATGGTGGTATTGCAATGTGGTCTTTTGGTTAATTCTGATTATTTGACACGTATAATTTTTGAGTTACTGTCAGTTAAAGCAATATACAATAAACCTGTGCTTGTCGATTAATTAATTACGAATTTAATTTGGTTCTTGCTTACTGCCTCTTTCTTGTACGCGAATCTGTATGCACATTTAATGGTATCAGATAACTATAAATAATAAAGACGGTTCTTTTAAAAAGCTCAAAGGCTTTTTATAAAATTCATTTTATTCACTCGTGGCCGTTTTATTTCAGTCATTTACCAGTTTGTATTTCTTGGCCAATTACAAACTCGTTTTGGTTTGTTTACAAAACGACTTAAACAGCTTGTTTTTAATAGCCTCACGTATATAATTAACATTAACCCTTGGACAATGCTTCACTACTTACGAGTTAACTAATGTAAGTGCTAAAACTTTGCTTAATCACCAAAGTAAACTACGTTATTAATCGTTGTTAACACTCACTAGTTAATCAATGTTAGTCTTAACCTATTAAAGCAAATAAACGTGGCTTTTTACTAAAGCGTTTTGAATGAAGAAAATAAAACCAACATTTTTATTTTAAAGACTAATTTTATTTAAAATAATGATTGTTACAGAGTTTTATTTTATTAGAATGTTAATTGTGTACTGATTTTTCAAGCGAGAACTTGAATTTCCACATTTATGATTCAAACATCATAGAGTTACCAGAATTTGAATTTAACGGTGATTCATTGGCCAAAACATCCCAATTCCATTTTCATATATATATAACATCGTAATTATTTAGTAAAGAATCAGTGTGTCTAACAACACAAAATTGTGGTAAAAGGACTCATAATTGAATTAATTGTATATAAGAAGCTTGAATTTGACATACTTGTAAAGTAACTTTGTAATAAAATTAACTTAAATAAGTTAATAAATTAGTTTCGACTAAATAAACTAAATAAGACGTTTTCTTCGTTAGTAATAACCAATTCATTCTGGATTCACATAATCATAAATTTAGCATTCATTTTGTTTTTTTAATCTCATGCTTCCCGAAAAATTATATTTTAATTAATATCTAATGTATCTAATGTTAAATATTAAATATTAACATTAAGCATTTTTATACGTTTTTTTTTCGTAAAGAAACCATGTTATATTAACTAGTTTACCAAACAATTTGACAGATAAAGTTTTTTCCGTTTTGATTTAGCAAGTACTTTATTTTTGCAAAGTTATTTTTATACATGATTCATTTTGCTAATATGTTTTCACTTTCCTTCTTTTACCAAATAATTATTTATGCGAAGAATCTAAGATGATTATAAGCTACTTTAGCATTACTAACAAATATTACGCTCTTTGTGAAGCCAAGACATCTTGTTGAATGTTATATAAATCAATGATAAAATTATTGCCGACAATTATATTATACCCTCTAACATTTGGAGCCCCTGCAACAATTGGGGGGTTCCAAAAAACATTTGAAATTGGAATATTCACTTGATAAGCAGGCATATTAGGACCATTACAACCAGTAGCTTGATTACTATTGTATTTTAAGGTTCCAAAGCCCCACCATCACAATGCAAAAGTTATATTTTAGGTTCTGAAATGTTTGGTCACAAGAAATACTAACAGTGGATCAATCTTACCTTTTGGATGAATACTCCTGGCAACGTTGGTGCTGTCATCATATTAATTTATGGATGATGAATTTTTTAAAATATGTTAACAAATCAGCAGAAAAATCAAAATGTATCATTTAGAGATGAACAAAGCTCAAATTAGTTTTTATAACTAGAGCCAAGTCAAGCTTAAAAGCAAAGTAAAGAAAGGACAAAGAGAAACAATTTTTAAAAGTCTGAAGATTAAATCCATTTTAAAACTACAATCTCGAAGCAGTATAATGTCTCGTGTAACATTGTTAAAAAAAAATATTCATTATTCGTCTAAAAAGAATGTCAACAACAACAACATTAACAGATAGTCTGGCAGAGTTATCATTAAATTTAAATCAAAGCATTCAATGTATTCATCAAGTTACAATCGAACAAGAAGAAAAAAGTAAGGGTAAAATTAAATATTTCTAATAATTTAACAAGTTATATATATATAATTTAACATCATATACATTATGGAATAGATACAATACAACAAAATATTCATAAATTCTTACAATCAGCCAAAAATTTAGAGATTTCTTTAACAAAAGTAATCTACGAAGAACGGCAAACACCAGAAATAGCTTTAAAACAAGTATTTTTATCACTACTATTTATTAATCATAGAGTTTTTATTCTGAGAAAATTAACTTTTTTTTTCATAAAAAAGGAAATTGAAAGTCTTTCACAAACACTATCAAGGCAAAAGGAAGTCATTACCAAATACACTGATTTGATGAGAAAATGGAAAAGAGAATTTGAAATCATTGAAGAAGAAAATGATGGGAGTTCCTCCTGATTCAAGAATTCTTTAGATTATTTCAATTAGAAACAATGTTTTTCAATAATATGAACTATCCCAATCAATTTTTTTTTACTAATTTATACACTTCATTTTCTTTTATCAAGTGAGTTTTTCCAATATCTCTTCTAAGATCTAAGATTTAAATACTACCAAAATAGCAACTACAATTATTAATACCTTCAAACAAAAATTTATTGAGTATTTATATCATCATAATTATAAGTTATTCTTTCCCTTGACTATGATGATATAATGCATGATTAAAATTTTTGACTCGATATTTCAACCTTAAAAATAAAACTTTATCTGTCTCAAATTGGTACACATATTCCAACATCATACAAATTAGACAACTACTACAACCTTTATTCCAACCTAACTTCAAACATTTAGACTTCAAAAGAAAAAATAATGAATGATCAATCAAATTTATTTTATTAATTATGATTGCATTTTTACCATTTCGAAAGCAAGAATATTTTGTTGTAGATCCTTGGATGGGGCTACACAATAATAACAAGGAATCTATTTGTTAAAAATAAACGCGACAATTTTAGATTTTTTTACCTGAACTTTATTAATTATTATTAATAAACATTTTTAGCATATCATTCAATTTAATAAATGTGTTTGTCTTTTTCGAAAAGAAGATTAATCTAACCTTTAACTCCCTTAAAGGATACAATGCAATTTAAACAGAGTAGGGAAGTAGAAGGCTCTGGGTTTTATTAAAGAAGTTGCATTTGAGCTTTTTATCTTTTTGAAAAGCTTGTGGAGTCTCTCATATGTTCGGATCTTTTCTAACTTTACCATGTTTAGTATGGTTATAAATCCATAATTAAGCGCGTAAAGACAATTCTATTAAGGAATTATAAAATTGGAAGGGAAAATTTTTTTTTTGATCCTTCAATCAATGGGAAGAAAATTTTATTTATTTATTTTTGTGAATCTCAGAGACTTGAATAGATAGGCACACATTATTGTTTCGAAATCATGTTCCTAAAAAAAAATTATTTCTAAACATTGTAATAGACATATAGTATATGGAGGCATTCATGTTCAAGGAAAAGATCAAATAGTAATAAAAAGCTAAGTGATGTTTATTTATTTTATTCAAGATAATAAAAATATACTGTATATCTAAGAAAATTGTCAGAGACATTGCATAAATCTAAGGCTGCAACACTATGTCCAATTAAGCTATCAAGCTATTAGGTTTGTGCATGATTTAAAATTCTTTCGTATTTAAAGCCTCATCTTTCTTCACTTATATAATCTATTGATTCTCTTTGTAGGTAACATTTTACAATTCAGATTATTTATCTTAATATATAATAATCATTGTATGATTTATACAACATAGTTCTGGAAACAAAGGAAGCTTGATTATTTTGAAAATGTAATTTTTCTATAACAATAACATTTTCTATGGTTATTGTGTGTTCCTGATCAATAATATGTAGAAAAGTTCATTGGTAAAGAGAGTTAGATATCTTCCCATTTGGTACAACGACTGAGAGCAACAAGCTTGTCCAGGAGCGAGTGAATACCTCTTGATCAAGGCAGACGGATATATTTTGCAAGGTTAACCCTTGTGTTTTGTGACTGTTATACCATAAGCATTCTGTGAACTGAGTTCTGCTTGCAGGGTTTCCATTGAGCATAAAATTAACCTTATGCTTGGAGAGTACAGCGGAATGAACAAAAAAGACGACCTGAACTTGTTCATTATTAATACATAGTAAAAAAAAGCTATACACGATCCATTTTTAGTTTAAATATAATTCCTTAACGTGAGTGATGTGAAATGAGAATTGATGTTGCGACGCTGAAATTTCAGCACCACTTTTTTATTTTATGAATTATTAAAAAAATAATAAATGAATACATCTCAAAGAGAATTAATTTTGAAGAAGATCGTTTTAATGAATAGTATCAACACAAAAAAAATTTGTCCGTTCCAATGTTTCGTATTTCAATTTTGTTTTCATCCTTCCCCAAAAATGATGCTTACTAAAACTCGTTGACAAGCCTTGCTATTTGCTATCTGCCATCTGAGCAAAACTCCAATTTACAATCAGCAACATCAAATAGCATATTGCAGATTGAAAATTACATTTTATAAAAAATGGTTTGTAGAGAATTTCCTTTTTTAAAAAAACAAAAAAAGTTAGCGAGTTTTGAATGATTCACATAAAATTTCCAAGAAATATATGCATGACCAATTATAATTGTCAAGGTTTTCCAATATTTCTATCGGACAAAAAGTGTTCTATTCTGGAATTAGTTTTTATTAATGATTGTTAAATTAATTAATTATAATTGTATTTAAAAAGTTAAGCCAAATCAAATCTTTAATCGATCTTCGACATTTTTTATAGTCGTCTCGATTAAATTCTTTTGCTCTTCTCTAGAACTATTATACTGAATAATATTTGTTTGATTGAAGGGGTTTTCTGGCGATTTCTTTATAATATAATTTAATATATTGGTAAAAATAAATATGTCAGAAAAATATATCTTAAAAAATTATTTTTTGATTTCAATCCTAACCTGAAAATTTTTAAATAAAAGTTCATTCAATTGTGTATAACGTAAACCAGGATTTTCTTTTTTAAGCCTTGGCATTTCGCGTTCTTCATAAGCAGCCAAAGCTGCCTATATAAAATAAATAATCAATTAATAAATTGCTTACAACAATAACAAGAACAATATTCTTGTTGTTATCGTCTCTTCCCTCAAAAAAGTTTTATTAAAATAAAATTTACCTTAAATCTTTTTTCTGGATGTTTTTCAATAATATTATTTGAAGCATTTGAGATTCCAACACTATTTAGATTGCCATTAGGAAATGATGCTTCTGTGGCAACTGAAAGTAAATCTATTGCATCTTCGATATTTGAAGCTGAATATTCTGGTATCACACGTCGTTCTTCTGAAGTAACTTCTTGTTTTTGTGTTCTTTTTATAGCTTTTTTCTAAATAATTAATTATCATTATTATTTATTAACAATTAATTCGTATTACTAATAATGATTTAAATAAATAAGAATACGCACTTCTTCACCAGTTACTTTTGGAGGTTTTAATATAGGCTTATACTTTGATAATTCTTTCTCTTCTTGTTCTAACAATTTTGCAGCTTCATTTTTTTTGGCCAATAGAGCCTCCTAAAAATAAAATATTTAGAAAACTAACTTTATAACCAATTGTATTAATATAATAATAATAATAACTTTACTTTTTTAATTCTTTGTGCCTCTTGTTTAGAAGTATTTTTAGCTCCTACTCCCCATTCTTGAGATTCTTTACGTTCCTTTTCTACCTGTTTTTTAGAAGCAATTTCTGCTTGGTGTGCTGCTTTACGCTCTTTTGCTGCAGTAACTATTTAATTTTTTTCATATCAGAAAATTAGAACATAAATATAAATATCTTTTATATATATATACACATTATTTATGTAATAATCTTTACCTCTAGTATTTTCACCTTTAAATTTTTTTGGCATTTTAACAAATTTATATTTATCCGCAGAACTAAATGTTACATCATAAATAAAAATTTTTTGAAAAAAAAATGAGTAGTAGTGATAAAAATGAAACGGTTTTAGAAAAAGATTTAACAGATGTTGTCGAATCGTCGTCAAAGGAAAATCAAAAAATACAAGAATCGAATAGTGGTGTTGATGATAATGATAACAACAATACATCTACACATTCAGTTATTCCTAAAATATCATTAAGGAAACCACAAGATGAAGACAAACAAACTTTACGAAAAAAAGGGTCAAAACATTCATTAAGCACTGATATTACACCATTACCGCAACAACAACAGCAAGAGAAGGAGGAAGAGGAGGTGGAGGAGGAGGTGGAGGAGGTGGAGGAGGATCAAGAGGATCCATCATTATCATTTATAAACCATTCAGAAGATGATGAATCTTTAACTGATAGTGGTCATTTGGTGTCCTCTATACACACAAATGAATCAGGATCTGATAATAATACACATGACGATAATAACATGTCATTTATTACAGCAGATGGATCATCATCACCCTCACAATTATCAGAAGGTAGTGGTAGTATAGTGTCGTATCCTAATAGTGAAAATATAGATTCATTGGCGGTTACGCCTGAAATTTCATATCAGGATGAACATGAGCGTGAAGTTCTCGTTATGCCAGCTCCTGGCGAAACTCTTGATCAAATTCTAGCGCCATTGAATATTCCTGAATTAGAAATTGGAAGAAGGGAAAGAGTGAGAAGAAGAAGAAGAAATGATGACGGCGATGATGACGGTGACGAAGGTGATGATGACGATGAAAGTGATGATGACGAAAGTGATGAGAGTGATTATATCAATGATAAAATAGAATTTGTACCCACCCTATCAAAAGCTAATAATGTTAATAATAATGTTGATAGTAATAGTAATAGTAACAACAGAGTAACAGAATCTATTCCACCAACTTATACTATTGCTACAAATATTACTACCAATCAGAAAGCTTCTAGTGATGAAGTTAAACCATTATCATCATCGTCACCACAACCAATAACACCAACACCACCACAACAATCAACAAATAGAAGAGTATTACTACATCCAAACATTATGTCTGACTTAATATTTAGGCAAAGTTACTCTCAAGCGCTTAACTTTCAAAACCAAGCTGATAACAACAACACTGGAGAAATGATTTTAACAATTTTCCAACACCAAATACTTTTTCCATTTTTACAAGGATTTAGTTGGGGAATAGGTGTTCACATTTATCGTTATTTAAGAAACGGATTTACACTTAGAAATATGTGGAGGTCAATTTTTAGTAGTGGTAATAGTGTTAGAACTGAATCTAATGGGTAAAATGAATGGTGAGCGAGTAATAAACAGTCTATTAATGAATAATTTATTTATTTGCTATTTATTATATTTGATATTTGTTAATTATAATTATTGGCAAAAATGTAAATATTAGATTTTAAATTTTCTTTATACTAGTGAAGAAAAAAAGAATAAATAAAAATTAATTAATTCGGGTGGTAAAATCAGTCCAAGAATTCTCTTGTAGCATTGAATTCTCGCTCTGTACTAAAAGCCTTGCATTTCAACATTTCTATTCCAATCTTTTGATCTTTTACATATAACCTTAAAATTGCACTTTTAACGAATAATTTCAAAGTCTTGTTGCCAAATTCATCAATCTTGATCAACGAAGACAACTTATCAACATTTGTCAAAACATCGAAAGTTACACTTCTTCCGTCTATCTCAAATGCACATGTGCTGCTCAATGATGATTGCCAGATCTCAGCTCTGATGTCTTCAGACACTTTGATTGACTTGGCGATACTTTTTAATTTTTTTATATCATCTTTAGATAGCTGTAATTCCAAAGCTGGAATTGATGGTGACTCTCTACTATAATTTGTCGGTGTTGGAGGCGTTGTCACGCTTCTATTAAAAGATGGTGCTAATGTGTCATATCCATATCTGCATATTAAATCAGTATTATTCACTTGCACCAACAAATAATACAATGATCCCTCCCTATTCTTGTACATTATTCGATTTCTCGCATCATTGTTGTTGATACTATTGGCGTTACCGCTATTATTGTCATCATCTTGCATCATATGATTAGAATTATTATCATCGATGTTTTCAAGTGATTTTTCAAGTGATAGAGCTGAATTTGAAGTTCGTACATCCTTTAAATGGAATAATATTTCATTTTTCAACTCATCATCATCATCACCACGATGATTATTATTATCACCAACATCAAATCCATTTATCGTCAACTTTGACGCCAGCAACTTCTCAGTCAAACCTCTCAGACGATAGAATCTCGAATCTTTTAATAAATTTTGTCGTTGCACTTCGCTCTTAATCTCTATATCGTAACCTTGAAGATACCTCATTATCTCGGCAAATAAATCTGGATCACGATCTATCATTGATGGTTTTAATGATGGTATAAATGGTAATATCTTTGTAAGTGAATTTGGTGGTGGTTCCCAATTACATTCGAATCCTATTTTATTCATATATAAAAAGAAATTGTTTGCACAAAAAAAAAATAAACAATTTTTTTATATAAAGAAAATACATTATATAATTATTTTTTTGCTTGCATATTAACCTATAGAAGTAAAATAATTTGGTGTGTCACGGATTTCTAATAACTCTCGGTTGAGTTGAAATAGTTTTCCACCAACATTTATCATATAACTCATCCGTAATTGTTTTTTCAACTTTATCAAATTGTAAAATACTGCATCTGTCAACAAATGCATATAGTGAACCTCATCTCTTGGTACAACATAATATCCCTGCAAATGTTTGATCTATTTATTACGTGTTAACGAGGGCATTGTGAATAAGTAGATAAATGTTAGTTTCTTTATTAAGATGTGTTTTTTTTTTCATATTAATATTTTGCATTATTCTTTTTGTTTTTTTTACCACTCACGATATCCTTAAATATTTCTGGGTCTCTATCAATATTCATCACTAGAGTCAATGAGTTAGCAAAGTAATCTGTAAAGTGATTTGGGCTGTCAGAGAAAAGAGATGTTGCCGACAATTGGAATGTTGCACCTCCAACAATTATAGTATAACAAACATCCAAAGACGCAAACATATTATCAGATGTAGTATTAATGGAGTTGAATGGTGTGGTGGTTGAGTTGTTTGCATTGAGTGAGCCAGGCTGGTTGAGCAAAGTTGTGTCATTAAAGGGGGCATTAATTATGGTGTTAACAGGATTAGATGTATTTGGATCAAGTGGTAAACCAGACATTTTTATTTTTTTGAATTGCATGTCTCCGTGTAACATCTTCACGCATATATTAAGACGTTTACGTGTATGTTTTTTTATGTCATAAAATAGAAAGTCATGGAATCCTTTAGAAAGTCTAGATTATTCACGAAAAAAGTTGTTGATCGATCTTTTGGAATCTTTTAATGAATTGATTGGTTATGGGTATATGTATTTTTTATATAAATAATACATATGTAAAAAAAAATTTTTTAAATATTCGATAATCTTCTATATCAAAAAAATCAGAAAAAAAAAATAATAAAATATAACGAATTAATATTAATTTTTTTATTATAAAATCATAATGTCAGTTGTAGGTTTGTAAAAAACAATTTTTTTTTTAAAACAAAGATCAAAAATTCATTGAAAAATATTTTAATTAAACTATTCTTTTTTGTGAAACTAGGCATAGACCTTGGAAATCTTAATTCTGTAATTGCAGTTGCTCGTAATCGTGGAATTGATGTAATTTGTAATGAGGTTTCGAATCGTGCTACTCCGTAAGTATAATAAAACGTTGAAGGTGTATTTTATATATCATATTAATATACACACTCTCATACTAACACAACATTACGAATGAATTTTTTTTTAAAATTTAAAAAAGTTCATTGGTGTCATTTGGTGCTAAACAAAGATACTTGGGAGAAGCAGCAAAAACTCAAGAAATTTCAAATTTTAAAAATACAGTAGCTTCTTTAAAACGACTTGCTGGCCGTACTTATCAAGACAAAGAACTTCAAGAGATTGAAAAACATTTCATCAATGCTGATTTAGTTGACGCAAAAGGTCAAGTTGGTGTTAAGGTTTGTATTAAAATATATATATATATATATATATATAAAGTATCTATATTTGTAGATTTTTATTAAAATAATAACCTAAACAAAAATTATACATGTGATTTTTTTTAGGTTCAATACCTTGGAGAAGAAAAAATTTTTTCTGCAACGCAAGTGATTTCCATGTATTTTACAAAACTTAAGGAGATCACAACAGCAGAATTAAAAATCCCTATTTCTGATGTTGTGATTTCCGTGCCTGGTTGGTTTACTGATGTACAACGTCGCAGCATTCTTGATGCAGCAGAAGTTGCAGGATTAAATTGTCTACGATTAATGAATGATACCACAGCGTCAGCTTTAGGTTACGGTATTACCAAACCCGACTTACCAGAGGACAAACCTCGTAACGTGGTGATAGTAGATATTGGTCATTCCACCTACAGCGTGGCAATTGTCGCATTTATCAAGGGTCAATTAACTGTAAAGTCAACCGCGTACGATAGGAATTTCGGTGGTCGTAACTTTGATCAGTTGTTGGTGGATCATTTTGCGGAAGTGTTTCGTGAAAAATACAAGATTGACGTCAAATCCAACCAGCGTGCGCTTTTTAGACTTAGAACGGCTGCCGAAAAATTAAAAAAGGTGTTGTCAGCAAATCTTCAAGCGCCAATTAGTGTCGAATCGATTATGAATGATGTGGATGTTCAAGCCATTTATTCGCGTCAAGAATTCGAAGAGCTGTCTAAAGACTTGCTTGAACAAGTTATTGCGCCACTTAAGCAAGCTTTGGAAGATTCTGAACTTACATTGGATGATATTCACTCGGTAGAAGTTGTTGGCGGGTCGTCACGTATTCCAGCAATCAAGGAACGTATTTCTAAATTTTTTGGCAAAGAACTTAATTTCACTTTGAATCAGGACGAGGCAGTGGCACGTGGCTGTGCTTTCCAATGCGCCATGCTCTCCCCAGCATTCAAAGTTCGCGATTTCTCCATACAGGATATTAACGCGCCGTATCCTATAAAGATTAGCTGGGAAAAGATTCCAGAAATACCTGACGAAGAGTCAGAGCTGGTCGTTTTTCCGAAATTCAATCCAATACCCTCTACAAAAATTCTGACTTTCTTTAGGAAAGAGCCATTCACCATTGAGGCACATTATGCGGAACCAGATAATCTTCCACCCGGAATAAACTCTTGGATCGGCAGTGTTACCGTCAAGAATGTACAACCGATGAAAAATGATGACTTGAGTATGGTCAAGGTTAAGGTCAGACTGAATATTCATGGGGTGCTTAGTGTTGAAAGTGCATATCTTGCTGAGGAGGTGATCAGAGAAGAGAAAGAAGAGCAGCCAACACCAAAGAAAGAAGAATCAGAAGCTCAACAAAGTCAACAGCAACCTCCACAGTCACCACCATCACAACCACAAGATCAGTCACAACCACAACCAATGGATACAGATACCAAACCAGAAGAAACTACCACACCCACACCCAAAACAACAACTAAAAAACTTAAAAAAGTAATAAAGAAGGATGATTTACCCATTGTAGCAGGACATGGCGGATTAGATAAATCGGTCATTGTACAACTTAAAGAATATGAAGGGCAAATGATGGCAACCGATAAACTTGTAGCAGACACAGAAACACAAAAGAATGCACTCGAAGAGTATGTGTATGATATGCGCTCAAAGGTTGAATCGATATATTCAGAATTTGTTAATCCATCAGATAAAGACAAATTCATACAATCGCTTAACGAGACGGAGAATTGGCTTTATGATGAAGGGGAGGATGCAACCAAATCGGTGTACGTTGAGAAACTCGAGGGTTTAAAGAAGTATGGAGGTCCGATTGCTAGTAGGTACCGGGAAGCAGAGGAGTTGCCTAATGCAGTGAAATCGTTACGTGATAATATAGAGTCATTTATGTTGAATAGTAGTAATAATGATGAAAAGTTCTCACATATTCCTGACGAAGAGAAAAAAGGCATTTTTGATAGAGCACAGAAAGCGTCAGATTGGTTGAATGAGAAGCTTGAGGCACAATCTAAAGTTCCAAAACATGAACAACCTATTATTTATTCCCGTGATATTCTAAAAGAACGAGAGGTACGTGCGGAGGCTTGTTTTTGGATTTTATTTTTGTATAATTTTATTTTGTAATAACATTATTATTATTATTATTATTATTATTATTATTATTATTATTATTATTATTATTAGAATCTTGTACAATACGCTACACCAATTTTATCTAGACCTAAGCCAAAACCAGAGCCAAAACCAGAAAAAACTCCAACACCACCACCTACCAATACTGAACCTTCACAAAATCCAGAAACACCAAAAACAGAAACTAGTGGTGATGATACTAACAATAATGCCACCACTAAAGGAGAACAAACACCAGAATCAACAACTTCAACTGAAGGAAAGAAATTGGATGCTGGTCAAGGTAATATGGATGTTGATTAGATACCACCACCATCATTGATTATATATATATTTTGTACATGATTGTAGATTTATTATTTTTCATCTCATTTTATATTTTTAAAATACGAAAATTTTTAAAAATAATGATATTAGTAAGATATTTGTAATAATTATATTTTTTAAATTCATTTTTTGATGAATAGACTACTATATATATATTTAATAATTTATATATTTTTAGATTTTTTTTTTTTTTTGCATTTATTAAAAAAAAAAAAATGAAATAAAATACTTTTTTCATTTCAAATCATCAAAAAAAAGCAATAAAAAACTTAAAATTTGTTTAAAATTTTATTATTATTATAATATATAATATATGATATGATAAACGACATAATAAAATAAAATATAAGTTATGATATAATATGTATATAAATATATATATATATATATATTGTTTGGATAAAATAATAATTATCAATGATAAAAAAAAATGAGAATAAAGAAAAAAAAATACATTAAAAAAAAGAAGAAAAATTAAAAATTAAAAAAATAAATAATTTTAACTAATTATTTATTTTATGATAAAATATAAAGAAAACAATTTATATAATCCAAAAATTATATATTGTTTTTTCTTCATAATATATTCATCACACAATTAATTAGTCAAAATTATTTTTTTAAAATAAATCATTTATATATTAAATTTTTACAGTGTACAAAAAAAAACATTTGATTTTATAGTACAAGAAAAGGAATTAAAAAAAAAAGTTTATATTTGAAAAAGTCATCATCAACAAAAACAAAAAAAAAACGCACACAAGTTCTTTTCATTGTTTTTGTAAAGATGAATTTGGAGTTATTATTAGAATTGTTGTTTTTTATAGTTGATTTTTAAAGTTGGTTGGTTATTGTTGGTAGTTGTTATGGTGGATTTTTACAAATATAATTTTTTTTTTTTAGGATATTTTTGGCAGAAAATATTCATAACTTCTGCAGTCATTATTTAATTTTTTTCACACACGTCAAATAAAAAAATTTGATATGATAATAAATGGGGTAATTAGTTAAAAGAATAACAGGAGGAGAAAAAGAAAAAGATAGATAGATGATCATGAGAAAAATGATGATTATGATGTTAATGGTAAGTTTTTCTAAATAATGATGATGATTTAAAATGATGATTGATTGATGAATGCGTGTATTTATATATTTATATATTTATAAATGTTGAAATGAAATGAAATTAAATGAAAAAGAAGAAAAGAAGAAAAGAAAAGAAATCAAAAAAGATGATGATTAATTAAAGTTCAAGAGAGAGAAAAAAGAGGATAAGTCCAGCCTCTAATTAATATAATATAAAAGATCAAACCCAACGGTAACAAAAACAAAAACAATAATAATTATTAATGCTTTTACTATTTCCACCGTTTATACCTTTTTTTTTACAATTAATAATTCGTATAATTATACATCCCAATATTTACTTGTAAAAGATGATTGTGATTATAGAAATCTGTTAGAGAGCTATTTGTAGTAGCACCAGATTGAGGTAATGGAGGTGATGATGAAGGCGACGTTGAAGTAGGAGGTGATGATGAATTTACAGTTACTATTACACCATTCTGATTGTTATTGCTATCAAGCAAAGGACTATTCGATTGACTATTATTATTACTACTACTGTTGTTGTTGTTGTTGTTGTGATTATTATTATTTTGACAATTATTATTAGGCGTCGTTAAATCATTTGTAACAGTGGTAGGTGAAGTAATGGTGTTTATTATATTATTATCGTTATTATTACTACTACTATTATTATTATTACTGTTGTTGTTGTTGTTATTATTATTATCATCATCGTCGATATATTCATTTGAACTTAAAGAAGTCATTGGAGAAACAGGAGAATGTTGTTGATGTTGATGATGATGTTGAGATTGTGGAGAAACATTATTATGATCTGTTGTAGGGGAATATATTAATTGATGATGATGATGCTGCTGTTGTTGCTGTTGCTGTTGTTGCTGTTGCTGCTGCTGATGGTGATGGTGGTGGTGGTGGTGAAGATGACGCAGAGTAGGTGATGTAGCAGCAGTAGTAGGTGTAGTGGTGGTAGGTGAAGCATCAGTCGCTTGCATATAATCATAAGATATTTCAGAAGTTGCAGCATTATTAACGGAATCAGCTATCATTATAGATGATGAAGTAGTAATATTAGGTGAGGTGCTGGGATGATCAGTTGTTGTGGTGGCAGTTGCAGGACTCCATGATTCATTAACGTTAAAATTAGGAATATTTGAGTGAGCAGAAGCAGCGGATTGAAATTCACCAATTATAGAAGATCCATTAATATTATTGAAATTTTGATGATGGTGATGATGGTGATGATGGTGAGAATTTGATGAAGGTATTGTTAAAGCAGTAGGTGATATGGACGAAGGTTGGATTGTAGCAGCAGCAGATTCAGGTGATGAAGACGAAGATGAAGATGACGAGTCATTAATTATTGGTGAAGTAGAAGCATTATCATTAATTAAATTAGCATTTGAATGATGATTATGGTGTTGTTGTTGTTGCTCTTGTTCTTGTTCTTGTTGGTGATGATGATGATGATTCTGGTTAGTGAATATTCCAAAAGGTTGTGCAGGGATTCTCGATGAAGGTACAGTTGGGACAGATGGCGATAATGACATTGTAGTTGTTGGCTGTTGAAGTTGTTCTGTTTTTATCATTGTTTTATCAAATCTCATACGTTTTGATGGCATTTCTTGTGATGGTGGTGATGATGGCGATGATGAATTAAAAGCTCTTCCGCATCCTCTTGTTAACTCCTGAAGTAATTGAATTCCTCCTGTATATGATCAATTTGAAGATATAATTATTAATTATCATTATTATCAAACAACAAGTAGTATATCATCACATCTTTTACTCTCTATATATACGAACCATCATGATAAGAAGAACCGGTCATTAGTTGAGTGAGAGCCATTAGATGAGTTTGATGTTTTTGTAGGCCTTCTGTCAAATTTCTAACTTCAGGTAGCAAATTATTCACTATATTATTCATTTGTTTTAAATCTTTTCTGAGATTTTCAGTTATGATAGTTAGATCACTGAGCCTTTTACGCGTCATGTTATCAACATCAGATTTATCTAAATTATTATTAGCGGTAGCATTAGATAAAAAATCTATGTAATCTTTTAAAAACGATTAAACAATGTTAATATTTTATAATTAATATAATTAATATTATCGATGTTATGGTATTTACCAATTGATGACAATTGATCTGATGTTGCATTGGTTCCAAATATAGATTGTTGAGATGACGGTATATTATGATTTGATAAAGTTGGGGATGATGTCGTCGTCGTCGTCGTTGTAGAATTGTGTGATAAATTGGTATTGTTGTTGGCGGTAGAATTGGAAGCGTCTGATAAACGCGGTTTTCTTCTTGCAGTTTTTGCAACTTTACGTTTTATATTTGGTAATAGATCTTGTCTACCGCGTCTAAATTGTGAATGTGAAAATACACATGCATGCTTACTACGAACGTGTTTTGATTTACGAGCATCTGATACTCGATAAAATCCATAAATCTAAAAATTAAATTTTTTAAAAAAAAACTCGTTAATTAATTGGATAATATAAAAAAACAAATGCAAATACAAGTATAAACACGTATGAAAATAAACGTCTTACATTAAGTTGTCTGACGAACGAAGTAAATTTGCAATGCTTAAAATATTTAGGTAAGACATTAGTAGCAAATTCATCCATGTTACAAATCACAAACACATCACCAGTATCATTCCACGTTAAATATTCTTTATATTCATCACCATCAAGAAGTCTATTGAATTGATTGATTGATTGATTGATTGAGTGATTGATTGATTGAGTGATTTGTTGATTGATTTAAAATTAAAATTTTTAAAAAATCACAAGTGCACAAACAACTTACTGATATAATTTAGCAACAAAAGTAGACACAGTGTCAAGATCATATTTTCCATTTTCTTCTTGGAATAAAGAATCACCACCCTCGGAACAAGTTGATGATAGATGAGAAGAAGAGTTTGAATCAGGATGATAAGTTTGAAATGATAAAACTTCATTTGATTGAGAAGGCATTATGTTTAATAAGTTATTTGCAAGCTGTTTACTTTCAGTTGCCGCTGTCATGACAAATTCTCTTTAGTTTAACTGCTTTTATTATTAGATTTTTTCTGATTTCACTCAAATTATTATATTGTGATAAGGTTTAATTTCTTTCTTGTGAAAAAAAAAATGAAAAAGAGATTAGGTTATATTAAAGGATGATGATAAAAAGAAGAAGAAGAAGAAGAAGAAGAAGAAGAAGAAGAAATAAAAGAAAGGTATTTTTTCTCGAATATAAATATATAAAATATAAAATTTGTTTAGCAATTATATTTTTTCGTTTCTTTTTTAACACGTGTGTATGTTTTTGATTAAAAGTGTAATGAGAGAGAGTGAACGTGAGATATAATATAATAAAGATGATTTTTTTTCTTTTATGCTTTTATTATTGCTTTGATTAGTGTTAGTTACTCTGACTGTTCTTTATTTGTTTTAAATTGAATATCTTTAAAAAATCATTATTTTCTGATTCAAAAAAAAAATGATTTAGCAAACACAAAAAATTTAAAAATTTAAAAACGTTCACGAAATGAAAGTGTAAAGGAGGCAAGTAAATAAGTAGTAGAAGCAAAAGAAGAAGGTGGAGACATAAAAATAAAAAAGATATATAATAATATAATTATATATAAAGTGTAAAAAAAATTTTTTTTATCAATAATAACAAATAATAATAATAAAAATGATATATAATTATTAATTATTACTTAAGAGAAGCTCCCCATTTATCAAATATAAAACTTTAGAAAAAATATCATATATATATATAATATATATTAATATTATATATTTCTTGAATTCGTTACGTGCGTGAAAAAAATTAAAAAAAAAGAAAACGTTAAAAAATTATTTTTCAAAGAAATTTTGAAAAAATAAGTGTGTGTGTGTGTGTTTTTTAATTTCACGTAGATAAAAAAATTTTTTTATTGACTTTTGTTGGGCCTTGTATAAAAATGGGGTCGTTATATATGATTTGGTAGTAGGGGCCAAAAAAAAAATTAAAATTAAATATAAAAAAAAAAAAATTTTGACAAGAGGAAGGACAATTTTATTATTTATATATATGAATATATATATAATATTATATTATTTTTTATTTTTATTATTATTATTAATTATTGTTATTATTATTATATGCATATAACCACATATAATATTTTGAGTGTATATTAAAATTATTATTATATCTCAATTGTCTATATTATACAGATTATACAGACTGACACCATGATTATATTTGGATTTTTTAAAGTGCGGGGCATTTTTTTGATGTTTTCTATTATTTAAATAATAATAATCATAGTCATTATCAGTTTCTTTTAATAATGATCTTGTGTGTAGTTAGTAGTAGATGTATTGTTGGTTGAAAAGAAGAAGGATTATTGTATGTGTAAACTTGTAGATGCAGTTAGTTGGTTAGGTTAGTTTCACAGCTTCATGATTACATATATAATATATTTGGCATATTTGGCATATACATACATATATACATACATACATACACACATATTTACTACATAAAGTGTATATATATATTTTGGGGGAAGTATGCTTTATTTGGCATCATAAAAAGAGCCAGAGTATATAAGAGAACAATAGATTTTCGAGTGATGAAAATGGCAAAAAGAAGATTTGGGCAATTAAAAAAGAAAATCATCAAAAAAGATATTAATAAACCATAAAAGTCAATTTTAAACGCAAATCATGTAAATGAAAATAATGATGGATGGGAAAATATGGCAGGGGAGTATGGTAAATAGATGGTAACTCGCATAAAAAAACATATATATAGCAAAATAAATAGCAGAATAATTTGTTCATATGTTGCTGAATCAACTTGTTCAATGCAGTTGTAAATTTTTTTACCAAGTTTAGTGAATTATTTTTTTTATTTTTAATTTTTTTCTCGAGTATTTTTTTATTCATTGATGATGATGATGATTCATCGTCATATATAAAATACAATTATTATTAATTGCTCTAAAAATAATGAAAAATTCCCGCCTTTTTTATTAATATTTACTATTTAAATTTAAATTTTTTTAAATAAATTTTGATTTGAGAAAAAAAATAATTAATAATAAAAATAATAAAAAATAATAATAATAATAATAATAATAATAATAATAATGCATAATAATATTATGCATTTTTATATATTTATATTAATAATAAAATTAGGTTTAGTTTGGCCGCGTGTTAACATTTTTTTACAAGATCTTCCTTCCTCAACTGATGTGCATAGAAAAAAAATTTTTTAAAATTAAATTTTATATGAATTATGAATTATATTATATGTAGAATGAGATAATACCGCGCGGGGTCAATGATAAAGGCGTTTGGGCTAATTAGAAGTGTGGAGGAAATAATGGTTTGATGGATGGTGGGATGATTTTGAAATTAACAATACAATACAATATATATATATATATATTATATTATATATCAAAGGAATAAATCAAGAATATTATCTTAACACAAAGGGATTTATTTGCGAGAACGAAAAACCGGGGCAAATTAAATAAACAATTATGGCCAATTTATTTGGACGATTAAATCAGATCAAAATTCAAATTCAAAACCCAGCAATAAAAAAGAAAGCCTAATAAAGATTCTTTGTCTCGAATAATAATATAAGAAATAAATGGTGTGCATATGTGTTTGTAATCATAAACCGGCATAAATGATTATATAAATTGAATAATGTCAAATTAATTAATTTAAAAATAACAAAGAACTTATAAATAAACAAATTTTATTTATTTTTATTTTTTATTTATTTTCGAATTTTTCAAAAATTATTAATCAACAATCATTCATTTCATTGTTTTACTATAATTGTTAATTCGGATTATACAATAATCTCGTTATAGAATTAATTATTCTTCAATGTTAACACTATAAACTCTGAATTATATTCAATAAATGGATTTTGATCAAATATTTAAATTTACCAGATTAGGATTAATATTTAATTGATTTAATATTTAATTGATTTTTTAAATATTTAATTGATTTTTTAAATATTTAATTGATTTAATAATATTTGATGTTAAAGCAATAATAGTAAGTAAATAAACCCTAATTGAGTATATTTTTAGAACTTACAAGCTGACAGTAATAATAATAACAGTAACAATATAAATGCTTTCTTTTTTTTGACTTTTTGGCGGTTTCTTTTTTACTTATTCGACTAACCAACTAACGCTAAACAAACAAACAAAAACAAACAAACGACTGACCGATCGACCGACCGACCGACCTACCGACCAGTCAACCAACTGACCGACCAAATGACTCAATTAATATTAATCATTATTATTATAAAGTGTTCATTTATCCGCCCCGTTCTTTTACCATTTTGTTCACTGTCCACATGCTTAATTAATATTTCAATTGGTTACACAATTTACGTCATGAATGATTTTCATCCCTTTTTAAAAATTAATTTACCTTTTAAAGTCGATTTCAATATTTGCCACTTAGAAAACTTGCACTCGTTCACTCGCCCATTTATTTGTCTAAATGGAACCATTTTAATGTACAATGTAATCAATGCATTATCATAATAAAGCATTTGCGTGTTATTTTCTTTAAATATTAATATTTTGCCATTAAAACTAACTATATCAGGCATGTATCAATTAGATGTGTACTGTGTTATGTGTATGTGTTTATATTTGTGAATAATTGGTTGGATTTCGATGTATTTGGATATAATATACAATGGTAAGCGAACAAAAAAAAATAAAAAATAAAAAATAAAAAACAAAATCTCCGATAATTGTACCATTGTTTTAATACCTGATATCAGATAAAAAGATAAAGCCCAATTTCATTCGTCGAGAATTACTATGGTTTGTTGTTTTTTGTGTTGCAAATATATTTTGTGTTGTTGTTGATATTAAGAAAGAGAAGCATGTGCAAAATAAACAATGATATATGATTTGTTTGGTTTGGTTTTGATGACGGTACTCGCTTGTTCCTCGCTCGCTCTCTTTCTTTCTTTAAACTATTTTGTGTGTGTGTGCGTGTGTGTGTACGTGTGTGTGTGTGTGTGTGTGTGTGTACGTATGCTCACATTTTTGTTACAAATAAATAATTGGAGAAGATGGAATGGCTTATTGTTAGTTGATTTGTTGAAATTTGACCAACAAATAATAAAAAATAAGTTTGAGATGGCGTAAAAATAAAATAAAATAAAATAAAAATTTCGATAAAAATTTGGGAATAAACCGTTTTTAAAGTTTTTTTTTGTATTTAAAAATGTGTTTATTTTTTGTTTTTTAATTTTAAAGTAACATTTCATCTTATTGGTCAGTTATAGAGTAATCTCCCGATTTAAAAATAAAATTGATAAATGGCTTGCCGGTTCCCAATGCTATGCCATTGATTGTTGTTTATTTGTACGTGCAAATAAATATTGTTCTAATTTATCATTGTTATTATTGTTGTTTAAAACCTACTTACTGTTCTACTAATTCTACTAATACTATCCAGCCAATCACTGATTAGACCAATTAATTAATTAACCGCAATTTGGCTATATGGATGTCACGTCCCCAAACTATGTTGTGAATTGGAAAACCTTTTTTTTTTTTTGGATATATAGTTTCAATTCCTTCAAGGAATAAATTGATTGATTTAATAAGTAATGTTGATTTATAGTCATATTTAATGCAAAAAAAAACAAAATAAAAATCCAATAGCAGCAGGATTATCATGGTGTTTTTCTCCCCCCAACCACTTATTTATATAATAAGAATAATAGAAACCTTCAGGGCAATGGAATAATAAATAAATATAATTTATCGTTTCGCATTACTATTAATTAAAAGGATCGTCTTTACTAATTTTAGTAATTGTGTTATATATAGACCAATTACGCCGTCCGTGCCGAGTAAAAAAAAACTGCATCACGCACCCCACTATCTATCTATCTATCTAAAAGTTTAGCTTAACGTAAAAGAGGATGTGTGTCAATATCATTTTTATTCGTTAAAGTCGAAAAGCTACTACAGAGGCTA